AGTAAACGCTGACCGTTACTGTGAAACACTGCGGAAATTGCGACGTGCCATTCAAAACAAGAGGCGTGGAATGCTTACTGCATGTGTTGTGCTCCTCCATGACAATGCTCTTTCACATACAGCTCGACGCACAGCAGCTGTTTTGACGAAATTTGGCTCGGAGTTGTTTGATCATCCACCCTACAGCCCTGATCTTGCTCCCAGCAATTTTCATGTTTTCTTGCACCTCAAGAAATTCCTGTCCTCCGGTGAGCTTTTCGGCAACGACGAAGAGCTGAAGACGTCTGTCACACGCTGGTTCCATTTACAGGCGGCAGAGTTCTACGACAGAGGGATACAAAAGTTGATCCCACGATACGACAAGTGTCTCAATTCTGGTGGTGGCTATGTTGAAAAATAGCTGAAATATTGCTGTACTTGTTGCCAATAAATATGTTCCTGAAAGTATGAATTCTTTTTTTAAAAAAAAATTGAGAAACTTACTTTTTGGATGCGCCTCGTAATTCTAAAATGAATTTTCGTATTGCATGATATGATAAAAAAAAACTTTTCTTCAATGTTTATTTATTTTGATAAATCTATTGTTCATATGATAAAAACAGCAATTTTTTTTTGTAAAAAAAATGTTATAAGTTTTTTTACTTTTGAATGAATTCTAAAAATGGAACACCTTTAATTTTTTACAAATATATTACTAAGTTTATTGATAAAAAAATAGAACGCTAATGTTTAAATAAACATTACTATATTAGTCATTAACATGTCTCAATACATGTGCGGCCCTTCGTTATCCAACCTGCTGTGCAAGTGGCCCTTCACTCAAAAAGGTTGTGCACCCCTATGATAAACCATCCTTCTTTGAAATTTGATACTCTATGCTGGGGATAAGGGAGATGGATTTTAATGGTAAAAATATTGGACAATGATGATATAGAGTTTAATTAATCAACCTAAATTGAAACAATCATTTTTAAGCAAATTATATGAAAGCAAATTATAATAGCAATAAACATCACTGAAATGAAGGAATGCAACCAAATTTTTTTTTTTAAATTGTACTTTAAAATGTTCCATTTAGAACCTTGATGATTTTAGCTGATACAGCAGATTACAATAAAAAAATATCCCTTTTTCATTATATGCTAACTGATGAATTTCTATTTATTGACAAATGATAATGCATTTTGTATGGAATAGTGACAAATACATTGTGAATATTTAACATAGACAGTATAAATATATTATAATATTTTAAATTCTTGAATAATCAAAAAAAGTGATTTTTAATAACCTTTTACTAAATTACATACGCAGAAAGAATCCTGTCCACTTTTACTTGGGAGAAGATATTACTTTCTTATTTTGCTAGTTTTTCTTCACTCAGTTATAAATGAGGCTCTCTTTCAATTTGAAAAAGATAGAACTTTAAAATAAGATACTTTTTATGAAAATGAATTAGACTTTTTCAAAATATATATTCACATTATTATTGTCCGAAGAAGGATGTTATTCAACTTTATTAACACAAATCACTTGTAACGTTTCTCGATATAAACTTGCTTAAATACTTAAGCCTTAAAATATGTCTTTCATAACATTATACTGTTATAAGAAATATACACAGTTTTAAATACAAATTTTAGAGCTAATAAAATACAAGTATTCCTATTAACAAGTATTAAAATTTTCTCACTGAAATTTGTTTACAGGCCAACAAAGGTTATTAGACGAGTGCTTTGCGTAAGCTTAAAGCTCTCTAGATCTATTAATGAGGCCAATGCTATAACTCAAGGGAGAATGGGGTACTGGCGCGTGACGTCACGATCTTTGCAATGAGGGTCTATGGAATTTTGAAATAAATTAGCAAATTTTACATTTTTTTAAAACCTTTTTGAAGTATTGGTGTTCGATTTTCGTGTAGAATGGAGTTCTAATAATCTTTATACTAAGTTTCTTCTAAATTGTGACATTCTTCATATATGAAAAAAATTTACATTTTCATGGGTGGTGAGTAAGTTCTGATTTTTTTGTTTAGCCCAGGATAATTGTCAATTATTCTTACAATGTGATGAAATAGCTTTGTTTTATGATCATTAACTTCTGGAAGCAGAGTTGAAACTTAAATATTTTGCTATCATTATTAGGAATACACGTTATTATCATTTAATTCTTACATCTATTAAAAGTAGAATAATTCATTTTTATGTATGTTCCAAACTTATTCAAATATGTTAGTAACATTTTGAAAATGTTTAAAAAGCCTTTTGTGCTGGGGTGAGAGTGTGCTCTCTCCTTAGAGATAATGTTTGTTGTGCTTCATGCAAGGAACAGTTGTTGAATTTTTATTTTAGATATTTATTTAGTAGACAATACCCGTATAATAAATAGGGTTCAAAAATTTGCTACAGTGTGTTGAAATTGCTTTGTTTTTGTAAATAAACTTCCGTGTGGCAACTTTGAGTGAATGAATTTTTCTGATATTTTTACAAGGGGCCTCCCTGGCCGAGCGGTATCGCCGGTCCAAACGCTCTGTTAAGCGTGGAGGTAGCGGGTTCGAATCCCGCCGTAACCCTGGATGTATTCTTTGTGATGTCTTTCTCTGAATTGTTCTATCTGTATTTTCTANGAGCCGCTTGACAATGACTTATAAGCCTATATTGAGCACACAAGTCAGCAAATGTAAGTAATTTCAATAAAATAAAAATAAATAAATAAATATTTTACAAGCACATATAATTATTTAATTCTTTTGTTTATTAACTGTAGACTTTACTTTTTTTTTTAAATGTCCTAAACTTATTAGAATATTTCAATTAGGTTTTGATAATATTTGCTGTTGTTGTTAATTTACGTCGCACAAGAGCTGCACAATGGGCTATTGGCGACGGTCTGGGAAACATCCCGGAGGATGATCGGAAGACATGCCATTACAATTTTGATCCTCTGCGGTGGGGATGGCACCCCCGCTTCGGTAGCCCGATGACCTGCGCGCGAAGTCGAGCGCTTTACGGTAGCACCGTTTAACGAGGACCAATACCGCACACCTTCTGTCCCTACGCAGACTGATCCAAGTGGTTACCCACCCGCTTGATAATATTTGTGAAAGAAGTCTTATTGCATTATTTGGTTGAGCTTCTGGGTGGCAGAGCTTCGAATATAAGGATTTTGCTAATATTTTCACAAATGATCATTATTTTTTAATTATTTTGTCTATTAAAAGTAGAATTAATTTATTTTAAACATATATCCAAATATTTTCAAATGTTTTAGTTTGGTTACGTTAATGTTTGGGGAAAAAATCTTGTACTATATGGTTGAGCATGCTCTCTCTAACAATAATATTTGTTATGATTCATATTAAAATAGTTTTCATTTTTCACTTTAGATATTAAAGATAAAATATATTACCTGTTTCATAAACAGAGCAGAATAATAAACAAAAATTTAGTAATGTACATTAAAATTTCTTTCATGTGGCGATGCCCTTGGGCGACTGGAATATGACAGTAATTGCAGATTATGGTGAGAGAATGGCAGAGGTGGTAGCGGTAATAAGTTTAAACATTATTTCTGAGGATATGATCTGTTAATTATGGTAATGGGGGATAGATACTCCCGAAATCATCTTATTAATCATTTCCCTTTCTCAAAGGATATATATATGAGTTGAAAAGTTGGGATGACTATTTATAAGATTCCATCGAAGGGAAGAAGACAGTGATGGGATTATAATATTTCCTGACATCTATCAATTAAAGCTTGCTGGATCTGTTTTTTTTTTTGTTTTTTTTGCATTGTCATAGAAGGAGGCATTTAGTAAAGTTACTGATGATGCCTATTTTTAAGTCATTCCTGACTGCAATGTTAGGCAAGTATTGCGGAGAGTACGAGCACGAGCTCCTTAATAATACGAGCTCCTTAATTCAGCTACAGTCTTTATATTTGCAATCGCAACGCTCGAGTTCGCCATCTGGTGAGAAGCTCGGATCCATGTCTTGAACCTCCCTCCTTCTCTTTTCAGTTGAATAGGAATGAACTAAGATTTTTTTTTCGCATTTAATTACCAAAAATATTTTATGAAATTTCCACGACGCTTTGTTCTGAAAGTAGTTTTCAGTTCCATATTGGTGATCGAAATGTGATATAGGTGGTGCAGCAAAATGCAACACTTTGCATTTTTTCACAATTAGCGTGTGGAGAGTCGTAGAAGAAAGATATACGTCAGTGTATCCGCACGGATTTGTAGCGCCACCTAGTATAACTTGTAACACTTAGAGAGAGTGTGTGTGGAAGGAGGCTGTAACGAGCTACAAAAAAGCTCCCTTCCAAATAATAATAAATAAATATTGTGCATAATTATACAGTCCACTATTTCTGTTTATTGAGCGAGCTCATATTTACCTGAGCGTCGACAGGATGAGTGGTCCGCTCACCAGGAGATTCGTGCCTTCCCATTCAAAGTAGGTTTTGATTTTTTATAAAATACTTTAATTTACAATGTTTAAGAATTGTAAAAAAGATGATTTAAGGCTTATTGCCTGTGAACTAGATCTAGAGATTAGTGATGATATGATTGTGGTAAACTTAATTGATATAATTAAAAGTTTTGAAAAATATAAAACTGACTCTGAAACTGTTAGTGATCTTGTAAATTTAATAGTAGAAGAGCGCAAGTCTGAAGAATCAAAACAATTAAAGTTAGAGAATTTAAAGCTCGAGAGAGCAAAAACTGAACTAGAAATTGCACGTATTCGTGCTGAGCCAAAGGAGGTCGAGAGAACAAAAACTGAATTAGAAATTGCGCGCATTCGTTCTGAGCCAAAAGAGAATAATATAGAGCTAATTGAATCTAATAATTCCCTAGATTCTTTGATTAAGAGCATTGGAATATTGACCATTAAAGTGCCGAGTAAACCCGAAAATTGGGGATTCTTTTTTACATCGTTAGAACGAGCATTTATAGTTAAGTGTGTACCAGATAAATCTGAGATTCTTTTTAATCTGCTTGGTGAAAGATCGTCTAATATTATCACATATAAAAGTGATGATGATCTTAATTATGAAAAAGTGAAAGAAATAGTACTTAGAGAATTTCAGCCAACGGCTCAATCTTGTCTGAACAATTTCAAAACAACCACGCGACAGTTAAATGAAACGCACGTTCAGTTTGCGTCACGTTTAACAACAAGTTGGGAGTACTATTTAAAATTAAGAAATGTGACAGATTTCAAAACATTAAATCAGCTAATAATTTCTGATAAACTCTTCCAAACATTGGACAGGGAAACCGCTACTTATATAAGTGTAAAACAATCGAACACCTGGTTTGAACCAATTAAACTAGGAAAGGAAATAGATTTATTTATGACATCTCGCGGAAAATCTTTAACTAAGAGCTCTTATAATAAAAGTCATAATGAAAGAAATACTTCTAAAACCTTTTTGTCTGATTTTAAGAGTTCGAAGTGCATTTTATGTAATGAAAACCACCCCTTTATATGTGTTCTACTTATAAGAAATTATCTGTGTAAGAGAAAATACAATTTGTTAGAGATAATGAATTTTGTTTTAATTGTCTTGGTAAACATAAAGTGATGTCTTGCAAATCAAAATACTCTTGTGCAAAATGTGGTAAAAGGCATCATATTTCATTACACTTTAATCGAGAACGTAATTATTCAGCTCAATCACAAAATAAGAGAGGAGAACATTAAATTCAGAATCGAATAAAAAACAAATTGATAGAGGAAATCCCCCCACCCTCTCTCCACTTGCTTCTGAATTTACACCTGCAGCAAGCGAAGAGCAAAACACAGGCGCCAATATCTTTTCGGCCTCGAGTAGTTATGCCTGGAATAAAAACAAAACAGTTCTTTTGAGTACTGCAATTTGTTATTTATGTGATTCTTTTGGAAATGAGAGTGAAGTTCGTGTTTTATTAGATTCGGGATCTATGTCTAATTTCATAAGTAAAGAATGTGCAGATCGCCTACAATTGAGAAAGAATAAAATAAACATAGTAGTGTCTGGGTTGAATGATTCAGCTATTTCTGTTAGGTCTCAAGTTAATGCTACTTTAATAAATAAAGCCAGAACTTTTAACGCAGATCTAAATTTATTAGTTGTTCCTAGAATTACGGATCTCACACCCTCAAAAAAAGTAAACAAGTGTATGGAAGGGTTAGAAAACATTAACTTAGCTGATGAGTATTTTCACATTCCCCAGAGAGTTGATTTATTAATTGGTGCGGAATCCCTTTTTGAGCTAATAAAACCTGGGCAAATTTACCATCCTATCTCGAATTTAATCTTACAAAATTCTGTGTTTGGTTATTTAGTTAGTGGAAGCATATCAAATATGGAGAATAATAAAATTCATTTTGGGTTAGTTAAAGAAACTCTTGATTTAGAACAAACTGTTAGAAGTTTTTGGGAGATAGAAAATATCGAAACTGAAATAATTGAGAGTAAAGAAAAAATTATTTGTGAAGAACATTTTAAAAACAACTGTGCTAGAAATTCTGAGGGACGGTACATAGTAAAGATGCCTTTAAAAGAAGATCCTAAGCATTTGGGAAAATCTAAAGAGTTTGCGTTGAAGAAATTAAATCTGATGTGGAAACGTTTAATTAAGGAGTCAAATTATTTATCTTTATATAAAGATTTCCCTCATGAATATTTAGAGATGGGACACATGTCAGAAATTTCGGATGATGTGGAGGAAGAAGCCATTTACTACATTCCCCATTTAGGAGTTTACCGCCCTGATAGGCAATCAATTGTCCTAAGAGTTGTTTTTAATGCGAGTTATCCTACCTCAGCTGGTAATTCCTTAATTTCTTTGCAATTAAATGGAGGCATAGTTCAGAGTGATTTATTTTCCATCATGACAAGGTTCCGTAAATATGTCTATGCCTTCACAGCAGACATAAAGAAAATGTACAGAATGATCTTAATTCACCAAAGCCAAAGAAAATTGCAGCGTATTCTTTGGAAAGAAAAAGAGAAAGGACCTGTCAAAACCTACGAGTTGAATACCGTGACTTACGGTACGGTATGTGCACCATTTCTAGCAACTCGTACATTAAAACAAATAGCTATTGATGACGGAGAAAATTATCCTCTTGCTGCTCCAGTCATTGAAAATGATTTTTATATCGATGATGCGTTGACCGGGTCTGATAATTTAGTAACTGCAAAGGAACTTAATTAGTTAATTGGTATTTTAGGAAATGCTGGCATGCAACTCCACAAATGGCATAGCAGCTGCGCAGCGTTAGTTTCTGATGGTGAAGAAATATATAATTTTACTAACTGTGATGGAACTCAAGTGCTAGGAGTTTTCTGGAGTCTGAAGAAAGATAGTCTTTATTTTAAAGTTATCTGTAGTGCATCACAAAGAAAAGACTCGAAAGTCACGAAGCGCTGTGTCTTATCCACAATTGCACGCCTTTTCGACCCCCTTGGATTGCTTGGACCAGTAGTGTCAAAAGCAAAGATAATTTTGCAACAGCTATGGTCTTTAAAACTGGACTGGCATGAAGAACTACCTGAGAAACAGATCCAAGAGTGGAAGAAGTTTGTCGAAGCTTTAAAGAGTGTTAACAACATGGAATTTGATAGATGTATACTTACAGAGGGAGCTGACATGATTGAAATTCATGGATTTGCCGACGCGTCAGAGGTTGCTTACGGTGCTGTTGTTTACTGTAAGTGTGTTAAAAATGGTCAAGCAGCGACTATCAAATTGACTGTTAGCAAAAGTCGTGTATCACCTTTGAAAAAGAGTAACCATCCCAAGACTAGAACTCTGTGCTTCACTGCTTCTAGCCAAATTAGTGAAAAAAGTGATAATAGTTCTCGATTTTCCTATATCTAACATCTACTTATGGAGTGATAGCATAATTGTGCTTTCTTGGATACGTAAGGAGTCATTTCTACTTAAGACTTTCGTTGATAATCGTGTATCCCAGATTCAAGACTTAACTAACATTGACAGTTGGAGATATGTACCATCAACTGAGAACCCTGCCGACATTATCTCCAGAGGTCTCGATCCTGATAAACTTTCACAATGTAGATTGTGGTTTGAAGGACCAAATTTCTTGTGTAACAGTGAATATCCAAATAGAGACATTCCATCCAGAGTTATTGAAGATGAATTTTCTAATGAATTTAAACCATCTAGTGACTTTAATTGTTTTATTAGTGACAATAGTAATTTTCTTGATAATTTTCTGGAAGTTAGTAATAATTATAGTAAACTCATTCGTGTATTAAGTTTTGTGTATAGGTTCATCGATAATTGTCGGAGCACTTATGACACATCAACTGGGTCTTTGTCTCCAGATGAACTTAAAAGAGCTGAACTGAAATTGGTAAGTTTAGTGCAGAAACGGGAGTTCAGCAAGGAAATTAGAGATTTAGAAATTACAGGTGCAGTTTCAAAGCAGAGTAAGGTAAGAAATTTATGTCTCTGCATTGATAAAGAATGCCTCTTAAGAGTAGGTGGACGTTTGTCCAATAGTGAATTGTGCTTTGACAAAAAATTCCCATTATTGTTACCAGAAAAACATAAATTAACACAATTGATAATTATTAGTAATCATATTAAGAATTTACATGTTGGACCTCAAACATTATTGTTTATTATAAGGCAAAGATTTTGGCCAATCAATGGCAGATCTATTTGTAGAAAAGTAGTTCGTGAGTGTTTGTCGTGCTTTAAAGCTAAACCAATAACTTGTGATCAACTTATGGGTGATCTACCCAAAAGTCGTGTGAGTCAAAACTTTCCATTTGCCATTTCAGGTGTGGACTTTTGCGGTCCATTTACAATTAAATACAAGAACCAACGGAAAGGTACTTTTCAAAAAATTTTATGTCGCGATTTTTGTATGTTTCGTCACAAAATTGATTCATTTGGAGCTTGTGACAGAGTTGAGCTCTCAAGCATTTATAGCTACATTAAAGAGATTTTTTTCGCGTAGAGGAAAAAACAGTATTCTGTACTCAGATAATGCGACTAATTTCGTTGGGAGTAATAATGAGTTACAACGATTATTTAGCTTAGTTAAAAATCCTGATAAGTACGTAAACATAAGCATAACTTCGATAAAAAGATATATATTTTTATGCATACAGCTAAATCAGCGGTGGTTAAAAAACAAACTAAAAAGTGGTCATTTGTGGTCAGTTGAAATTTTTGAGTTTCCTGATTTTCGGGATTAACTTCCCACTGTCCAAAACCATATTTTTAGAATAACAGCAAAAATAAAAAAATGGTATAAAAAAATAAAAGGTGGTCATTTTCAGTCAAATGAATGCTGTTGAAATTTTTTATTTCCTAATTTGCAGGGGATAACTTCACACAGCTTAGAAGCAATGCTACATTATTGTTCAGTATATAATGCAGGAGAAATACATTTTTAATTCTATACATAGTATTTAAAAAAATATTATACAGTACTTAATCTTTTTTTTTTGTAAAAGTGATACTTAATTTCTAATCTCAATCATTTTCACAGCTCAAAATTTTTAATCTTAAATTTATATCAGGAAAACATCATATTAAATAGAAGTATTTGGTCAGGACACTATTTATTACCTCTCTAAGCACCATCAGAATTAAATGCCTCATATTAGTCGTGCCTCATTGTACCAACTACAAAAATAAGATTCTTCAACACAGTCACTTTTCAATTTGCATGTACGCAATTAACATTCCTCACGATAATGTTTTAGCATAAAGAACAAAAATATGATTTCTAAGCACAATGAAATAAATAACTATGGGTAGCTAAACCACTGCAATTTTTTTTTATTATATCAATTACAAGATAGTAACTCAGCAATATGGACAAAACTGTGGACAATTAAAATAAACCACTAAAAAAAATTTTTTTTAACACACATCATGCAAATAAGGTTTTTCACCAGTATGAGTGCAACTATGTCTAGTTGGATGCTCTTTTTGTGAAAAACTACAAGAATAAGGTTTTCCACCAATTCGAATGCTGATGTGCTTAGTCAGAAAATCTAAATCATATAATGATTAAGACTCTTTCTCAATATGACGGCGCTTGTGTTTATTTAGATTTTCCAATAGTGTAAACCTCGTATTACATACAGTACAAGAATAAGGTTTCTCTCCAGTATGAGTGCGATCATGTCTAGTGAGATGCTCCTTTCGTGAAAAACTCTTATTACACACACTACAACAGTAAGGTTTTTCACCAGTATGAAGACGACTATGCTCAGTCAGAATACTCTTAACTGCAAAACTCTTATTACATACATTACATGAATAAGGTTTCTCTCCGGTGTGAGTGCGACCATGCACAGTTAAAAGTCTTTTTTGTGAAAATCTCTTATTACACACACTACAACAGTAAGGTTTTTCACCAGTATGAATACGACTGTGTTCAATCATATGACCCCTAACTGAAAAACGCTTGTTACATACACTACAGGAATAAGGTTTCTCTCCGGTGTGAGTGCGACCATGCACAGTTAGAGCTATCTTTTTTGAAAAAGTCTTATTACATACACTGCAAGAATAAGGTTTCTCCCCAGTATGAAGACGAATGTGTTGAATCAGATGACTTCCCTCTGTAAAACTCTTATTACACACATTACAAGAATAAGGTTTTTCACCAGTATGAATACGAAAGTGCCGAATCAGACTTCTCTTAACTGCAAAACTCTTACTGCATACACTACAAGGATAAGGTTTATCCCCAGTATGAACACGACTGAGCTCAGTCGATTGACTTCTATCCAACAAACTTTCATTATATAAGCTCAAAGAATAAGGTTTCTCATCAACATGAATATTATGCAAGTTGTTGTCTTTTAAACTCATATTAACTGCCACACACTATCAAATTATGTATAGCTAAATTATTTTGTTGAGGACTCTTACATAAACATTATTTATAAAGGTTTAAAAAGGGTGTACTGTCAAATAGCCAATTACTTGATAGTATAAAAGACTCTTTAAACCGTATTTAAACTATTGTCAATGAACTTGAGTTATACAATGGAATGATTAACAAACAAACAACATATTATAAAACCATACAATAATTTAGTCTTCAGGCTATGAAAATAGTTTTCTTGGATTTTTCACAGTGGCAGTAGAAACAAATTTTAAGACGTTAGACAACCTTTTTGTGGCTATTATTAGAGGTTAACTTCAAGTGTCATGGCACACAGGACAGTAAATCCAACTTAAGAAAACCCCTGGAAAAAAAAATATATGCATGTTTATATTTTCAGAGTAGCCATTCAAATCAGGTTTTAAATTTCCTTGATTTTTTTTCTTCAGGTAAGTCTTAAAATTTCCAGGTCATTGTGTTTTTTTTTCCTTATAAAGTGTAGAATGGATATGAGAAACGTGTCAATTTTATAAGGTATTTTATTTAAAATGCTATTGTTTTAATATATCACCTTGGAAAAAAATAATTATCTTAAATTTATTTAGCTTTAGAATATATTGTTGTCATTGAAAAAAAAAATATAAGTAGAATTTGCACTAAGTGTACCAAATGGCAAATACTGAGTGGTCAAAAAAACCTTGGAGAAGTATTGTTTAATATATTTTCAATAAGCAAAAGAAAACTTCAGGTGATTTTACATAAATAAATTTTCATATTTATTTGAAATTCAATATGAAGCCATTGTACACTGTTTTTTTTTTTTTTTTATCTAAACAGTACTCTTTATAAAATTCACAGATCATATTTTGTTTAAACGAATTTAATGTCAAATGTTTAAATAATGTTGTTTGTTTTAAATTAACATTATTATTTTAAGATAGATTAAAAAATGAATGTTGCAAATGCAAAACTGTCAAATTTCTTGTTGCATACTCTACAGAAAAAAACTAGATCAAATTCTTTAAATTTTATTCTTTTTCGTCTTTTTTTTCTTCTTCTTATTTGGAATTGAAATATTTAAAGAATTCCTATCTAACCACATGGTTTTTAAGTTTATATCAGTTAATTGTTTTTACTACTAAAAACCTGTACATGTACAGTGCAGAGCAAAATAAAAATAAAAAACCTTCCTTCGTCTTAATAAACACATATGAATAAAAAAATTTACATTCCACGTTTATGCATCATTTAACAGATTTCCCATACATTCCTTAGTCTCTGTCAGCTTTTTAGGGTAAAAAAAGAATGCATGAAACAGTTACTAATTTTCGACATTGGGATTATTTCCAGAACTAGCCAGTAAATTAGCAAATTCTCAAAAGTGTTACAACTAATTTCAAAACAATTAGCCAAAGCAAATCTTAACAAATTTTTCCCATAGAAATCTTTAAGCCAAAATACAAATGTACTATAAATTAAACTATTTTAGAAATGCAAATTTAAATCAAGAGTCATTTTACAGTTGGGAAGGGGTAAATGATTAATGAATGCCCAAAGATTTCTCTATTCATGGAGAAGTTTCATGTGGCATTCTAGTGATAAACTAGAATGCCACATGCTGATAATAACAGGGGTATAATCAACACCTCCTAGATAAGAGTAGGCCTTAGCACGGGTTACCATAAATATCCTTTAGTAGTCCAAAGTAATGACATATTTCGTATTTTCAACTACTGCGCAGCTTAGTATACTCAACGAAACGACATCTTTCTTATTTTTCATCTACTGCGCAGTTAACTTCGTTAGATCGGACTACTAAATTGATCCGTGCTGAGGCCTTACTTCTTCTAGGAAGTGTTGGTATAATGGAGCAAATTTTGAGGCTTTCTCCAACAAAAAATGGGTATAACAGATTGTAAAATAATTTAAATTAAGAAAATTAGTAAATAAATTAATAAAATTGAAGGAAAAAAATTCAAGCTTTTCTTTAAAACTCCTTGATTTTTCTAGGCTTTTTCCAGTACAAAAAAATTTCCTGATAATTACAGGTTTTCAAGGTGTTTGGCCACCCTGATTTTGTACAAATTATTTTAGCAAACAAAAAAAAATTTTTATTAGGAAATTCCAACTTTTTCAAATTTTTCAGAAAATTTTAATTTTATGACAAAAGTAGTAGTAAAATTCCTATTGTGTTTCTCTTATTTGAATTGGTAAAATTAATTTATATTGATTTTGATTATCACTGCATGTCAATAAATATTAACTGGCATATAAAAGTGCATGTAATAATACAATGGTGAGTTTAAATGCTGTTAGTTCTACTTTTTAGAATTTCCTTTGACATAACAATTGACATAATTTAGTTAGTTCCTTAAACCATCTCCGTATTTTTTCATTTGATCCTTTTCCCAAAAAGATTGGCATCTCTTTCACATAAGTCGGTTTTATATGTTCTACTTACTTCACTTCTATTTTTATTAGAATTGATGATTTTCCAAATCAGGAATCTTTTTTTTATTTTTTATTTGATGGATTTTTTGGAGCTATCTGCAACAAAACTCACTAGCACTAATATCTTTTAGCAAGATACTTTTATTAATAACAAACATATATGCTACTCATTTAAATTAATAAAAGTCCTCTGTTTACAAAAAAAAAAAAATCTATATAATTCTTTAATTTATTGAAAATGTAATAATTTTTTATTCCAATACTATGGGTGATATTCTTACATTTTGTTGGGAAGGGGGGACACACAAATTATTTCCTTCTTTGCATTTTGTAAATAATCATCACAATTAAAGAATAATAAAAAAATCATGAAATCAGTAGCAGTAATTGTCGTAAAAAAGATCAAAATAATAGTCGTAAAAATAATAGTGTATAAAAAAATATAAGATTTAAAAACTATGGAAAAATCAATAGCAATGACAGCCAATAACTCAATTGAATTATTGCCTTAGAAAGTAACTACTCAAAGGCTTCGAATTTTCCATAGTTTTTGAAATATATTGGGATATTTAAAATCTACATGAAAATTAACGACTGCCGAAGATACAACGAAACATTACATCGGTTTACGATACTATCGGTGTAAATCGAGCGCGTCAAAAAGTGATTATCTGAATGCATGATTCAAATGTTACATGTAAATTTATGCAGAAAAGAAAACAGGGGTCTGTCTAGGTTTTTCTGATAGGTACTTATTTTGTGAAAATTTAGACATAATTTGTGAAAATTAAAATTATATTAAAAAATCAACACAAAAATTTGGATTTATCGTTCTTTAGTCGACACAAAAATAAAAGTTTATGAAAAAGTATTTGGTGAAACCGTTTTTCCTAAAGTTGAATTAGTGAAGGTACCACTAAACGGTAGTAAATTTGGCTTGAACAGACCCCTGGAAAAGTAATTTCTTTTTACTTTTTAAAAGAAAAATTATTCTGAAAGAGCCCTGTAACATTCTGTCAAAGGGATATAAACTAAAAAAAAAAAAAACAGTTCTCTGGAAAAAAATGGGGATTACGCTAATTAATCTAAATGATGTCACTCAATTTTTATAACAAAGGAATAGTTACACCATATCACAAGCAGAGATGATCCCCAAAGATAAAAGAATATTTAAAACCTTAATTCATTCAAATCAGCTAAATTTTATATTTGAAGATATAAAATATAAGACAGATGAGAATTTTAATAAATAAGTTTTAGACAGATAGCTTGAAAATGTTAAATTATTCAAATAAGTTGTCTCATTTTATGATTTATTCTCTTAATGATGCGGCAATATTCTTTAAATTATTGAATATATGGATAAATAGATTTTTTTTTTAAAAAATGGATGAAGAACTGTAACTTAAAACACTACAAATATTTTTCTTTTTAAATAATTAACACAACAATCGCTTTTATTTCAAAATTGAAATTGCAAAATTCACTATACATTTATGACGAAAGTATTAAATACTAAGAATTACATTTATGAAAGGACCGAGTATTTCCATTAATATGCAAGATAATATAATCCATAATCACACTTATCGAAATTTCAGGTGTAATTCTTTACCTTCCAATTAAAATAATACTCAGTATTTTGCGTGTTCATCTACATCAACAATTTATTTATTGAACACAATCTTAGTTAATTATCTTCTACACTTATAAATCAATAACATTCATATTATAACTTGCACTGTTCCTCTTTAAGTACACAATTTAAATTCAAACTATCAATTACTTTTCTAATAAAAATAACATTTATTCATTAAAATTTATTTATAATCTTGTTCTTGAAATTATAATTAGGTAATAATGCATTTGAATTTTTTTTTTAAAGAAAACTAACTCTTTCAGTGCGATAACACTTTAAATTCAATGCTCTATGCATTAATTCCACCCCCCCCCCAAACCCACAGTAAAATTAGCCGAGATTTAAGGCTGCTTTCGAAATGTTTTAAGAATGATTCTAACTCAGTTTTTTTTATGAAGAATATATTTGATACGCGTTAATGAGTATTAAGAAATATTTATCGCAGCTGTTATTTGTTTCCACCAACTACAATTGCTATGGCCTCAGAGGGATTTTTAATTTTCAAAAATTAAACAAAAAACTGTCTAGGTTTTCCCAGACATGTGTTTCTCGGATTATTTGTTGAGGTTCTAAAGGGTCACTGCTCCGACAATATTATTTTTGTGCAGAAATAGATGAGAAAATCCACTAGAGAGCAGTGGTAGACAAATTAGAAACAATGTGAATTTGAAACATTTAACATATACAGCATAAATTACATATATTTTAAATATTAGAATGAACATAATAAGTGAATTTTTATAGTACCTATTTACTTAAGCAGCATAAATTCTATTCAGTTCAACTATATAGATAATACTGCCTTCTTTTGCTGCTTTTTCTTCACTCAGCTTTTAAGGAATGACTGAAGCTTGCTTTCAATATACAGAGGATAATGCCTTAAACTAAGATACTCTTAATGAAAACGAATTCAATATATATGGTAAGGTTGAACGACAAGGAATTTAGATTAAATGAATTATAATTAAGAAGCGAGAAGATATCTTAGAAAAGTTTTTTAATCTTCCTTGTTGATTTTATATTCCTCTGTGATTTTAATAAACAATAATAAATAGATGATGATCACTGACGGGCATATTTGGAGCTCTCTGCTTAATTGCGCTTATAGCTCGCTTATTGTAGGGTAAAAGATATGAAGATTACAGAAGTTAAAGTTGAAGAGGCTGGTGTTAAATTAGATTTCCGATTTCCAAGATCATTTTTACCCAGGGGCCGTTCAAAAAATACGTACACAAAAATGGAGAAATTTTAGTCCCCCCCCATTCGTACATTACCGTACATAAGGTCTTACCCTCCCGAGTACGTACATTTTATTAGTCTACCCCCCTTTTTCATAAAAAATTATGTGACATTTTGCGAGACAATTTTTTTGAGAACTGATTTACTCATTCTAACAAGTGGTTGCCGTGTGAAAAAAAATACAAGAACAAACATACGTATAATACATGTGTATGTACATGTATATGTATTTAATACATGTAAATTTGGTGTATGCTTATAATGTACGCACTTTGTATAATACCTCCCCCCCTCCCCATCGTACAAACCCGTACAAAATAGCAAATCCCCTCCCTCCCCCCCTCCGTCGGGATGTACGTACTTTTTGAACGGCCCCCCAGATATTTTATGATTTTTTATTATCATTTACCTAGATATTTTATGAATGCATTTCAGACATAATTTTTTCTCTCACAAATCTATTATTTCATATAATAAATCGATTGAATAATCAGTTTCTTGCAGAACTTATAATAAAATCTATAATAATTTTGCCCAACTTTAAATAAAACATAAAAAAAGATTTTGCTCCAAATTTTTGCGTATTCTTAGCCATAATATGTTTAGTATAATTATTGCCGTGTTTTTATTAACTTTTATACTAACTACCTTTTAATATTTTCAAAATATTTAGAGAAAAAAAGGCAGCACAGTTTAAAGAAAACTCGTTTTTTAGTAAAATTTTNGCGATCTCCAGTTTGCCGCCCTTTCTATTACAAGTCAATCAAATAGTGGTTTTTATAAATAATTCGCATATATTATAAATAAGAATTATTATAAATTGTATACTTATTTTCCATCCGCTGTACAATTTTGTATTAGATATTTGAAAGAACGGAAGCTTTTACAATATAATCGTTTTTTTGAAATTTATTAGTTGATTAGTTTAGATGCATAATTAAGAAACATAATTTCATTTATTTTCACTTGTCATCTGAGTTGGGTAGAATATAAATGGGTAATAAAAAGAATGGAATATGAAGAACGGAAACTTTTTCAATATAATCGTTTTTGAATTATTATAAAGTTGTAGATAAATTTAGATGCATAATTAAGAAACCTTTTAATTATTTTTTTATTTTTCTGTTCATCTTTGAAAATGAGAAAATTTCCCCTTTTATTTTTTAAGACAAAGATATATTTTTACTCTTATATCAGTAATACCAAAATATATTCGACAATTTATTTTTTGAAAAATTATGTATTATTTTAGGAATAAAGCTTGTTAAGATTATGATTAAAAAATTTCTAAAATAAAATTTTTAAATTTTTTTTTATAGCATTAAAAAAGTAATTGAATAAGAAAAACGTTTTAGCTATTTCTTAATCTTCTGTTTGATATTTGACCTTTTTAAAATACTTACTCTTTAATAATATGGTAAATAACAAATTTTAGGGTGAAAAAAAAAACTTAAGCATAATTTTCTTTTCTGTTTTAAGATTCTCTCTTAAATATCAGCTAAGTTATTCTAGAAATATTCGCTTATATTCATTTGTAATTATTAAACTAGCGATAGTTGTTTTTTTCTTTCTTCCAAATAATACTTCAGATTATCTTAATGTATGCGATTAATTCTACTTCAAAAAGTTTTTTACGAATTTATGTGACGCGTAAAAAAAGAGAATTTCTTTTGAATTACTTTTGCATAATTCATTTTCATACAGAATGGTAAAATCATAAGAAAAAAAAATATATATATATCCCGCATCAATCAGAAAAACAATTGAGAGAACTTTGCTATTAAAAATGAGTGCAATGAAAACTGATTGATATTTGCATCATGTTAAATTACTAACACGAATTTGTAATAAAGTAAAATCATGAATAATCATTGTGGCTAGACCGACAGCAATAAAATTGTATAACTAAACGTTTTAACTCCCAAAAGTTCTCACAAAGCTCTTACGACTTGGTACCCTTGTCTTCTGAGTTGGATTCAATATAAGAGCGTAATAAAACGAGCGGAATATAAGGAAAGGAAACTTTTTCAATATAATTGTTTTGGAATTATTATAAAGTTGCTGGTAAATTTAGATGCATAATTAAGAAACCTTTTTTTTATTATTTATTTTCTTATCTTTTCATTACTTATTTTCTTAATTTTTCTACCCCCCTTAATTTTTCCGTTCTAAATATTCCAACAAAAATTTTTTTATATTTCTAGTCTTATAACTATAATACCGAAATATACTCGAAAATTTGTTTTTTAAAGATTAAGTAATATTTTAAGAATAAAATTTGTTAAAATGAACATGAAAAAATTTCAAAAATCACATTGTTTTAAAAATTTTGTTGTAATTGTACTAAAAAAATGCTTGACTAAAGAAGACTTTTTAGTTATTTCTTAAACTGTTGTTTGACATTTGAAAATACTTATTGTTAGTATTACAAATTTTAGGGAGAAAAAAAATCAAGCGTATTTTTTTTTTTTTTCTGTTTTGAGAATTTTTTTAAAAATATTAGCTAAGTATTATTAATTTGCTGAGTATTATTATTTTTTAAATATTAACTGATATATTGTGTTTTACCTGTATTCGTTGGTCATTATTATACTAGTCTTTTTTTGGTATTATTCAAATAATATTTTAAGTTATCCTCATTGATGCAATTAATTCTAATTCAAAAAGTCTCTTACAAAATTATGTGGCGCTTAAAGCAAATATTTTTCCGAATTACTTTTTCATAATTTATTTACATACACAATGGTAAATGATAAGGCAAAAAAAATAAAACCCAGCATCAAATATAAGAACAATTGAGGATATTTTGAAATTGAAAATGTGTTTAATTGAAAGTATTAAAAATACTTGTAACGAGTTAAACTTTAAAAACGAATTTGTGATATAAAAAAAATCACGAACTGCCCTTATGGTTAGAACGACAACAGTGAAATTGTGTAACTAATGACTCTAGCATGAAATTCTTAAATAAAGTACGACTACTTGGCATTCTTGTCTTCTGAGTTGGGTTTAATGTAAGAGGGTAATAAAAGGCAAAAAATTAATTGCAGAGAAATTTTTTCCAAATCTAGTTCAATATAGCACAACGATTGAAAATACCATTTTCAGAAANAGTACATATAATTATGCATTTATGATACATGTACGCATGTATGTTAGTTTGTACAAAAAGGCAATGTTTTGTATCTTTGTATACATAGACAATGTATGTATGAACGTATATGAAAATAATGTTTATGCGTTTGCATGCTTTTATGTACTTAAGTACATATATTGTATAAATTTACGATAATAGCACGTATATACAATGTACGTATGTATATAAAATTGTACGTATTTGCGTACAATATGTAAGAATGTTATTTAAAGGTGCAATATATGCACATAGTTGTGTAAATAAAATGCGTATTATATTTATATGTATTTTACTATAATTTATATGTACATCGATACATGTGCACGCAAAGTATGTACTTATGTACAACTTACGTATGTACTTGTATAACTACATACTTTGTTAATACTTATGCGCATGTAATGCATGGATGTACAAAAAATAGTTATATACACAATGTACATACAACGTATATATTTACATAATTACAAGTAATGTACAAATACATGCGTACATTTAAATATATGTAATTACAATATACACATACATTGTGCATACAATAAAAAAATTTATATGAGTAAAGTTATTAAAATTTGTTTTAAAATTTATACTAAGGCATATGAAACTCGACCTCATATTTTTTAGAAAGCAAACGATAATTTTATTTGGAATTTCTAAATATTAATTCCACACATAAAATTTACCGTTTTTCTNTAAGTTGCTTTTTACAACTATAAGTAAATATAAAAAATGCCGCCCCAAGGTAAGTGCCGCCCGGTGCGGACCGCACCCACCGCCCCCCTCTAGGTACGCCACTGCATCCACGTCAGGGAAGAAATCCATGGAGGTATGAGTGAAGAGATTTTTGCCGCTCAAGATGTGCTACCAAACATTTAAGAATGATGCTCTCCATTGCTTTACACATAACTCTTGTGAAAGATATGGGTCGGTAAGAAGTGATGTGATGCTTCCCGGGTTTGGCGATTTGGAGCACAATTAAAGACTTCCACTCCACTTTTTCTCAGGCTTACTAACCCGATTTACTACTAAATTTATCATCATGCTGATATCTGTAATTTTTTATAACATATAAAATGCTATATATTACATACATACTATTTATATAACACAGATTTTTTTTATTTTTTAAATTGCATTATAGTTTTTAATTATTAAACGATTAAACATAAGCATTATTTGATCTGTAAAATTTTTTTGTACGAATAATATTTTTACAGGAACATAAACCAACATGAATATATTATGGTGTTTAATTTTTAATTCCATGGAATAAAGTTATTAAGCCAGCCAATGTCACATATCTGTTGTCTTTTATCATTGACTACATATACAAAGTTAGTTTCTCATATTTTTTCTTTAAATATATCTCAAAAATGTAGAATAATAAAAACATGAGCACGTCTGCATTTATTAGGGAATCAATAACATTATACTTAGCTAAAACAAGCTCTCTTCAAAGAATCATATTGAGGTGTTCACGTGTTCAGTTGCAAAAGTGTAGAAAAATTGCCATTTTAAAATTCATTTGGCACTTTAGTTGGCCTGATAGATCATGTTACGGAAATATCCCAGAATTGTGTTAGTTCATTTAATAGTCTATTTTCCCTTAACAGACAAACTGCTTTCTGCCACTCTTACAGGACAAGAATCACTCGTTTCCATAGCATTAAAAGTTTATCTCTTGGTTATTGACAATATACACAGGAAAAAAATTTTAATGCAGCACATTTGTCAAACTCAGTTGATAGTGCCAAGACGAACCAGTTTTCAACATC